TATATACATGTTTCTTACTTTGTGACTATACATTATTTTTATCCTTATCCTCCACCCATTTGTACCACCTCTCCCATGTCGCATAGTATTCTCGATCCTCTTTGCCTTTCAGTTCCATAGTGAATTTATCTAGTTCTGCACAGTCCATTATTTTTTGAATCAAAACTTCATCTGTTGGTATTTTATCACTCTTCCAATTTTGTGCTAACGTGATGCTGCAGTTAAGATGTGTACAATAAGGTATCTTTTATCTTTACTCAAATTCCCTTTGATCATACCCAATAAAAATGTTTTGGGTTTCCAATTTCAATTTATATTTTGTAATCTCAAAAAGCCATCTCTGTATTTTCTTCCAGTATTTTTTGACCTGTATACATTGCTACCACATATGGAAAAACATTCCTTTCTTTTGTTTGCACTTCCAGCATTCTGATTTCAAGGTTGGATACATTTTCGCCAGTCATGCCGGCGCTAAGTGCTATCTACAAAACATTTTATATTGATTTTCTTTGAATGCCGTCGACAAAGTCAGCTTCCAGTTCTCGGTCCAAGTCTTTTCCCACTTATCCAAATTTATCTTATGACCCACATTTCTTGCCCACGCAATCATTGGTCCCTTAACAATTTCCTCCTCTAGCTCTACCTCCAGTAAATAATTATATGTTCGTGTTATAAATTTTATATCCTTGCCTGTCAAGATTTGGTCCAATTTTTGTAAATCTTTATCCCTAGCTCCTTTACATCTTCCCTAAATTTAGTTTGAATTTGCAAATATACCCACCAGTCTAATATTATCCCTTGTTCTTTTAGTTTATCCAGTGTTTTTAATTCCCCCTGTTCATCTACCAATTCTTTATATCTAATCATTTTTTTAGTGTCCTTTGTATTTGGATATAGTATAGCTTCCATAGGTGAGATCCAGTTTAGTCTTTTCAAATAATGCTTTTTTTTTTAATTTTCTCCCATGTTTGTAAAAGTGAGTCCCTTATCAAATGTCTATGGAAATAGGAGTGGATCTTATTCTTTTTATCCCATAGAAAGGCATGCCACCCAACTTGGAGGTCCTGACCTTCTGTCGCCAAAATTCTTTTATTTTTTAAAACCATTTTTATTTCTAATGTTTCTGTTATTAGTAGGTCGGTGCATAGTATACATTTATTGTAGGAAAAGGAAACTATTTAGTTCATTTTAAAATATATCATCTTGTTACATGTGTCAACTCATAAAACATTCCTATGCCTGTTTTAGTAGTTGCCATAAAAAGGGAGGAAGGATATCTGGAAGAGCAATGCAGCATTTTGGAAGCAAAAGTACCTTCCAACTCTTATCTTTAAAAGATTGTAACTAAAATACCAGAGCTTTTGGCTGGGAATATATTTAATTGGAGAATGTGAATTGTGACACCCAGCCTGTGAATGTGCTCAATTGGAGAATCTGGTTTATGAGATACCCAAGGGGGAGGAGGAAAACAGGCTCACAGGTGACTGTAAATTACGTATGCCAGAGTTGGCTTCATACAGGGCAGTGCCAGTATGTCGCCTCTAATGAATCCTTTGAAGTTTTTTGAAGTTTGGCTCGAGAATCATGATTTAATTAGAGCAATTGCCGGAATCCTGACAACACACATATTCTCTCTACCCTTCAATTCCAATTATAAAGTCTTAAAATATATAATAATTCAATTATACGCCAGTTCCTTACACACCAAAATGTGTATTTTCAAATTATTAAAGCAGCCATGTTTTTCTCCCACGGCTGTTTTAGACATCTGTTTTTCACTTTCACATGTAAATCTATTTCACTCTCTATGTATCAGATCACCTCTTTCCATTTAGTTCAATACCTATGGTATTTTACCTAAAGAGGAAATTAATGGTGATAGCTGGGTAAAGAATCAGTGTCAGTAACAGTAGATGCTGGTAAAGCCATATCCCAAAAGGGGATGGATGGATGGATGGATTCATTCATTCATTCAAGTATGTGACATTAACACAAGCTAGGCTGCTTGTTTCCAAGCTCTTCCTAATATCTTAAACCTTTTCATTGGTTCAAGCACACTCTTCCTTCGAGCTAATACTACCTTCTACTTGAAGAGGTGTGAACTTCACATCCCTGGGGGATTCTGGGAGTTGAAATCTACACATCTTTAAGTTGCCATGGTTGAGAAACACTGCGCCTTGATAAACTATGGTTTCAGTTCACAAGACAAATCCCATTACAGTTTAACCCATAGTATGTGTACATACTTTCTGCTGCCTTAAAAGTTGCCAACAAAACCATGGAAATCGCCTGAGACCTCCCGGTGTCCTTGTTCCCTCAATTGATTGAAACTCGATGGTCTACAGACCTAAACGTTCATTCCCCATTTGCTGCGGATAAATTTTTAGAGACTAAAAATTGGATAAATCCTCCCTACCGCCATCTGCTCATCCTGGCAGAAATGACATCCACAGACGCTGCGGCTGGTTGCCAAGGACACCCCGCTTGCATTTCTGTGGCTTCCCAGCCAAAATATTCCAAATGACATCTTGTTGCAGCAACATGTTTTCTATTCTGAATTTAAAAAAACAACAACAACATTTCAAAGGAAGGAAATGGATTCATGACAGGAAGTGCATGATTGATTCAGGGTGGCATTTTTTATTTAAGGATACAGTAGCTTGCTCCGGAATACAATTCTATAACTGTGGTTATGGAATCAATATTATATATATATACAGTATATGGAATTGGTATAATTAATAAGTTATATAAAGGCACAAGTACCGATTAGGCAAAACCTGCCTCAAAAACTAACTCTGAGAGGGACCTTGGAGTCTATCGGACAATCACTTAAATATGAGCCAGCAGTGACATAGAATCAAACTCACATTAAGTATTAGTACTGTTTTATAAAGCCTTAGTAAGGCCACACCTGGAATACTGCACCCAGTTTTAGTCACCACATTACAAAAAAGATGTTGAGACTTTGGAAAAAGTGTCAAGAGGAGCAACTAAGATGATAAAAGGCCTGGGGACTAAAACATACGGTTGCAGGATTTGGGTTTGGCTGGTCTAGAGAAAAGAAGGTCTACGGATGACAATGATAGCGGTATTCCAGTATTTGAGAGGTTGCCCCAAAGAAGAAGGGGTCAACTTGTTTACCAAAGCACCAAAGTCCATACCTCTTCGACTGGCCAAGAAACAACTGGTATATGGAATCTAGAACGCTAAACGCATAAACTCCCAGAACAACAGGTTTTAGATGTAGCGTTCTTTACAAATTCAGCCTGCAATTCTTGGCGTGTAATTTGGATTCAATTTGTAATATATATTTAATTTGCAATTCTTGCTGTATATTTTAAACTAAATTCTTTGAAGCTTTTTTTTTTTTTTGCCTGAGGTTGTATTTCTTGGTATCATGAAGCAAAGAGGAGACTTAAAAGATGCTGGATGTTAATAACCAGCGCGTTCCAATCACAAATCTTTTTGTTTCTCGCCAGAAATGTAGAACCGTTTTATTGTAAAAATTGTTCATCCTCCATTTCAGGAATTGGCAGCCTATTTGCTCACGAATTAATTTTGCAAGGTGGTTTCGTGAGCAAGTTTGAGGCTGTAAAATTAGGATTCGGGGGTTGAAGTCTAAAAGCAGTGTTTCTTCACCTTGGCTGCTTTGAGATGTGTGGACTTCAAGTCCCTTGTAAGTGTGAAAAAAATGGTCACGCCACTTTTTTCAGCCTAACTTTAAACGGTCCCAAAACAAATGGCTGTAAGTCAAGGACTACCTATATGCTAATTTTATTTGTAGCTCTCCTGTGGATATATACCCAAGCTTTGGGCAGCCACATGTAGCCTTGCAGCCTTAGCTGATACAACTTCCTTGTACAATATAGGAGATGTAGAAAGTGCAGTGGACATGTTATTTAAATTAGCTTTTAGAATTCTTTGATATACCTTGACAAAAGCTCTTTGACTCTTCCATATCAGTGGCTGATGGTGATGTTTGCATTAGCATTAAACTGCTTGTGGCAGGATGCATTAGAGTGTTAAAGAAAAGTTACTCATTAACCATCTAGCAATTCTGGATGGGTTGTGAGGATGACTTTCTGCATACATGTTTTATTTTATTTATTGTATTTGTCAATCGCTTACAACATGATAGGTAGAAGTATAAACTTGAGTAAGAATGCAGGAAATAGGTACAAATAAATGGGGACAATAGGGCAGGGATGGTAGGCACGCTTGTGCGCTTATGCACGCCCCTTACAGGCCTCTTAGGAATGGGGCGTGGTCAATAGTGGTTAGTTTGAGGTTAAAGGAGTGGGGGGTTAGAGGATGTAACAACAGAGTCAGGTAGTGCATTCCAGACATTGACCACTCTGTTGCTGAAGTCATACTTTCTGCAATCAAGTTTGGAGAGGTTTACATTGAGTTTGTATCTGTTATGTGCTCTTGTATTGTTATGGTTGAAGCTGAAATAGTCATTGACTAGTAGGATATTGTAGCAGATAATTTTGTGTACTGCACTTAAGCCCAACCGTAGGCGGCATAGTTCAAGGTTGTCCAAGCCCAAAATCTCAAGCCTGATGGTGTAGGGTATTCTGTTGTGAGCAGAGGAGTGTAGTACTCGTGAAATACTTCTGGACTCGCTCAATTGTACAGTGTGGATTCCAGACACATGAGCTACATTCAAGTATTGGTCTAGCAAAGGTTTTGTATGCCCTAGTTAGCAATTCTCTATTTCTGGAGGAGAAACTTTGTAAGATTTATTTAAAACTCTTAATGCCTTTTTTGGCAATGCTGTTACGGTGAGCTCTGGCGCTTAGGTCATTTGATATGAGATCTCTGAGGTCCTTGACAGAGTAAGGGTTGTCAACGAGGTCATATCCGCATAGCTTGTATTTGGGGTACTGATTTTTTTTTACCAATGAGTAGGACGGAGCATTTGTTGGTTGAAAGCTTGACCTTGCTGCTTGATTAACTTCATAATACCCATCTTATAGTTATGTTCTCTTCTACAGGAAGACTGAAATTCACCAAGCAAGACAATCAATCTGAAATTCAGAAGGTAAGAAGGATTTTTTTTTTTCGAGGGGGGGCATATATGAAAGGTTTTATGATCTTCAAATAGGATGTTTGTATAAGAAACACCTGTACATTGAAGCACAGTAATAAAATAACGTGTTGAAGGTGAAATGAAACATTTGCTTTTGGCTTTTTGTGGGCTTTCCGAATTTATTTTTCCTTTTTGTGTTCTGAGGGTCACCTTTTTGGTCTTATCGTACTTTGCAGAAAGCAAATAAGTGAATTTCTCATTCATATTCTCCCAAACAATTCTGTTAATTTAATCTGCTGGAATAGTATTAAGTTTAACCCTTATGCTTCAAGAGATGTGCCAGAGTGTTGCTGTTTGTATACCCTTACAATTCATTTGGGTCTCAAAGTGGTTTAAACTTCTCCCTCGTTATCCCAGGTACAATTTTTTTCTAACTTCAAATATTTGCTTCCTTCGTACTTCATCTAAAACATGATGAGAAAAATACAGCAGCTCTAGCTTATCTCTGGGTCGTGTTTAAAAGAGGAAGCAAAACTTTATTCCCTTGGCTTTATTACTGCACAGAAACTCATATTGGTTCTTTGCTTTCCTTTACATGAAAAAGAATGTGAGGATTACATAGAGGTGGGTGTCAAACTTGATTTCATTGAGGGCCACATCAGGGTTGTGTTTGACCTCGGTGGGGCAGGGTGGGCATGGCCAACTCTATGTCATTCATGTTGGGGGCGCCTGTGATGGCTCGAGCACTCTGCCAGCAAAAACAGGCTCCCGAGCTCCGTTTTCAGCTGCGACAGCCTCCTGCAACCCTCTGTCACCAAAAATGGAGCTCGGGAGGGCAGCCAGCAGCTCTTGCAAGCTCTGTTTTCAGCTGCAACAGCCCTCCCAAGCTCTTGTTTTCACTGGCAGCAGCACCGCAGGCTGGTCCTTTGCTGTTTCCAGGGTGGCCTTGCGGGCCAGATCTAAGCATCCCATGGGCCAGATCTGCCCCCCGGGCCTTGAGTTTGACACGCTGACATAGACTATAACTTTATGGCACAATTTGTAAAGGTAAAGGTTACCCCTATCCGGTCATATCTGCTCTGGGGGAAGGACAGTGCTTATTTCCATTTCCTAGCTGAGGGACCAGCATTATCCAAAGACATTTCCATGGTCATGTGGCCAGCATAACTATATGCCAAGGTTCACGGAATGCTGTTATCTTTCCACCAAAGTGGGACCTATTTATCTACTTGCTTTCAAACTGCTAGTGTGATGACCCAAGGTGTGGCACAAAAATAACAAAGTCACAAAAAATCGACAAATTCTCTTTAATAACTCCAACTTGGCTCCCAATGTCCAATTATCCTCGGCTGGAGATCAAACTCTTCCAAAAACAGCCTATGAAGGGAAGAAATGCAGTCCGAACCCGAAGTACAGATAAATTAGAAATAAAAAAACCAACACAAAACACACTGAAGTAATTAACTCGACAGGCCAGGATAATAAATTGCAGACTTCCAAAAGATAACAACGCACACACTGTTGGGAGGACGCCAAAACCCAGATAAGCCTCGACAAGATGCTGTGTGCAAATGCCCTACTTATATGCTGTTCTCCCAGCTGCAACTAATGAAAGGGATCAGGGCCCTTTTCTCTCCCGTAAACCATGTTGCTCCCTTCTCCGTTCCTCCCTACGTACCCTAGGATGAAGAGGGGGTGGCTCTCGGTCTTCCTCTGAATGCCCAGTCGGACTGTGCCCTTCCCCCATGTCTTCCACAGCCACTGGAGCCCCACTCCCACTCCCTGTCAGCCGCTCAATCTCCCCCTCAGAATCAGACTCCAACAAGGGCATGACAGCTAGATGGGTAGGAACTAGGGAAGGAACACGAGTCACCCCGTTGTGCTTGGGTCTCAAACTGCCAACTGTTCAATCAATCTCAGTGGTAGACCAAGGTGGCCCCATATGGCATAATACCATTGGACTAGAACAGGGGTCTCCATTCTGTGGGCTGTGGCCCACTACCAGGCCACAGGCTAGTTGCCACTGGGCCGCATGAGTGGCTGGCCGGTGTGCGCACCTCTGCATACGCATGGAGCCCCGTTCACCTGAGCCTCATCGTGGACACTTTCAGCCCCGCTCACACAAGCGTCACCACAAAAATCGCAGGTACGTACGCATGCGCACGTGCGCTCGCCCTTCCCACAAAACCATTCCTTCTTTTCTTCCTTCTCCCGTTCCGGGTTGCAACTGGGAAAGGTTGGGGAATTCCCTCTAAATCTATGTTTAGTGGAAAGCTGGGCACCTTGTGCCTTTTTTGTTTGTTTGTTTCCCTTTCCAAGAGAATTTGTGCTAGCGAACTCTTGAGGACCGATAAGCCTCTATTAAATACTGTATTTATTGAACATCACAATATTGAATCTTCCTCCTTGGATGATCTCAACCGGACATTGAGATTAAAACCTGCATGTTTGCCTGCTTCTATGATTTGGCAACCATGCTCTTAGAACTGACATTATGTTAAATACACAAGTGTTTTAGAATTGTAATACATGCGTTTGGTTTGGATATAAAATCCATATGATAACGTTCTAGGAATTCTTGAGAGGGGATTGCATTTCCATCAGTGTCATGCTTTTAGAAACTTCAGATCTTTTAAAGAATAATTCAAGAAACGTCTCTAAGTCTGCCAGAGAATGCTAGCTAACCTAGTTAAGTGCTTCCATATCCCAGAGGTAGATTCTTGGCCAATGGGTAGAGATTAATTGTACGATCTCTATTTCTTTTTTCTTATACCTACACATTCTAAATTTCAATTAAATATGACAAGCTTTTGTCCTCTTTTATACTAGAACAGTGGTGGCTAACTTTTTTGGGCTCTTGTGCCAAAAATTGTAGGCATGCTTGTACGCTCACACACCAGCACCCAGAAGGCAATATGTGCACCCCCACCCCCTGCACATGCACGCGCAATCCCCCCGCCCCCTTACCTGCACTGTGCCTCCCAGCTGATTTTAGGCCCATTTGAGGCCTTTTTTTGGCCTCCCAGAGGCTTGAGGACAGCCTTTGCAGGCCGAAAAACGGGCCTGTTTCATCACTTCCGGTATTTCTGGAAATACCGGAAGTGATGAAACAGGCCTATTTTTCGGCCTGCAAAGGCTTTCCTCAACCCTCTGGGAGGCCCCAAAAGGCCTCAAACAGGCCGAAAATCAGCTGTGAGGCGCGCACATGTGCAGTGAGGTAAGTTTGCCTGAGGTTCGCATGCTGGCAACAAATGGCTCTGCGTGCCACCTGTGGCGCCCGTGCCATCATGGTACTAGAGCATTCATAAATGACAACTAAGAATCTCTGTTGTGAATAGAATAGGGAGGTTTTATTAGTGAGAAGGCAGCACATTTGACTCTGCCAATAAGTGCTAATTTCATTTGGCATGAACCATCTCTGAATAATTATTATTTTTACATATGCATTGTTTTGTTCATTAACAGTGCAGTCCTGTTTCTACCTACCCAGAAATATACCTGTATTCAATTTATAATCAAGTATTGCTGAATTCCAAGATGTTAAACATTAACAACTAGCTATTAACTTTCATCCCATGCCTGTACATTTTATTTTTGACTTTTATTTTTCCTTCCTTCCTTCCTTCCTTCCTTCCTTCCTTCCTTCCTTCCTTCCTTCCTTCCTTCCTTCCTTCCTTCTTTCTTTCTTTCTTTCTTTCTTTTGTTTTTGAGAAAGATTCTTGGGATTTCTGATTTTGGTGCTCTGCGTTATGGTTTTATAACTCTTGTTTTTGTAGCACTTTGTATGTATTTCCAGACAAACTGCAGGTGACGATGTTATTGTATTTTCACTTTCCTCAGTCTGTATGCAGGCTTTTCATCAATGACATGAAACTTGAAAAGTAAAGACTGGATTAATAAGAAGATGGGGGCAGCAAGCAGCAGTATCCGTGACCTTCCAGAAAATGAATATTTAAAGAAACTGTCCGGACGAGAGGCCATCTCTGAAAATGACCCGTTTTGGAATCAGTTGCTTTCTTTTAGCTTTACTATTCCAACAAACAGGTAGGTGTTACACATTTAGCAATAATGTTTAGTAATGAAAGCAGAACGACCAGATTCTATAATAGTGTTGTGCCATAGAATATCAACTTGGTTCACTTGGAAGACTCTTTTTTTCAACTTACAACCACAGCTGAGCCCCAATTTTCTGCTGCTAAGCAAGGCAGATGTTAAGTGAGTTTTGCCTCATTTGACAACTTTTTTGTCACAGTTGTTAAGTGAAACACTGTGTCTGGCTTCCGATGGATGCCCTAATTAATTCATGAGCCTCGAGCCAAGTTTCAAAAGAAATCCAATTATGTATTAGGAGCAACCTGTAAGTACTTTCCCAAGTGCAGTTGGCTTTGCACCACGTAATTTGCTGCCCACCTATGACCCTGTTTCCCTGCTCCTCCCAGGGTGTGTCATAAATCATATTCTCTAACAGAGCACTTTCGCACTGGCACGCCACTCCGGCTTGCTCTAGTAACCTGGGGTACAATCTGGAGAAAGGTATGTGTTTCTGGTCATAGTAACCGAGCTTCTACATCAGTACCCCCCCCCTCCCCGGCCCTGTGGCAACTCAAGAGCAGGCCAGGAATGCTTTACGAGTTGACACACTGCAGTTGTGAAGTGGATCGTGCAGTCATTAAGCTAATCTGGCTAAACAACCCCCACCTATCCCCATTGACTTTGTCAACAGCCAGCTTACATGAATATTGCTGGTTACGTGGCCTCAGGACTGTGCAACTGTCGTACATAAGTACATGCCGGTTGCCAAGCGCCCAAATTTTGGATCACATGACCATGGATATGCCACAATGGTCATAAGTGTGAAAAGTGGTCATAAGTCACTTTTTTTCCATGCCAATGTAGCTTCAAATGGTCACTAAATGAATGGTTGCAAATTGTGGACTATTCTGTAATGGCACTATCAATTATTTAATATTGAATCCAGTGGTATTTCAGAAATCATCGTTAATTGCATCCAGGTAGGCACCATAAGTACCAAAAACAATAAATGCCAAATATATTTTTCCCATAAGGAATAATGTAGTGTGTCACAAGTCAGCTGACACCTACAAGTTCTAGTGTCAGGGCTCCAACAAATCCACCCTCATTCAAATCAAAAGTCTCTAGCCGCATCTCAGAGAAAAGTAAATTGATTTATTAGAGGTTGCCATGTTGGCGCATGACTGGGTGCAGCCGATACTAAATCACATCATACATTTCCCCCCTGATCCTGGTCTTCCCCCCCCACCCCCTGGATGTGACTTCTCCAATGGGACACATCCATCTCCAAGAGTCATCCATCATGCTCTCCAATAACCTTCTTATGCTCCGACAACTTTGGGCTGCTGAGGTGATTATCTAGGCAATTCAAGAATGCCTTGTTTTCCCCCACTCCCTTTTTCTGGCAGCTAAAAAGACCAAAGAAGTATCTTTTTAGTTGACATCAAGCTTGTGCGTTGAGTACCAAACAAACAATGAGTAGCAGGACAAAATGTTCGCATCAAAATGCACTGAGTACCAAATTCGATGAGTTTCATGGCCATACCAAGGTACCATTGTTAGTTGAATAAGTCGACTAACAAACATTGCCTGGTTTTCTTGGGGATTCATGTGGGTCTCTTCTACACTAATGACTTTCTTCTTCGTTTGCTTTTGGCTGCACGCAAGGAAAGCAGCAAAAAGTCTTTCTTTCTCTCCCCCAAACTCCGCCAGAAATGAGTCTTTGGGACCTTGCAAGGCATCCTGCTCCAAGAGGCTGCGCCCACGCGACAAGTCTCACAAAGACTCATTTCTGGCGGAGTTTGGGGGAGTAAAAGAAAGACTTCTGCTGCTTTCCTTGCAAGGAGCCAAAAGTCTCTCTTTCTCCCCCTGAGAACGGAGCTAGAGATGGTATCCTGCGATCCCAAATAAAGAATGATCGATTGGTAGGAAAATGGGGTGAGGAATTTTCCTGCAGACTTTTGGGGGGATTTTCCCAGGGTCTCTGGTCCGCAGTATTTAAAATTATGAGTTTGGTGGTCCCTGGGGTCCAAAAGGTTGGCAACCCCTGCTTTAGGTGCTAACTACGGGTAGTCCTTGACTTATGACCAATTGCTTAGTGACCAAAGTTATGATGGATCATGAAAAACCTGGATTCGAAGTTCTGAAGTCTGAAGTCCGGGCTCCCTCCTTTGCAGTCACATGACTGCATGTTGGGCATTTGGCAACTGGCTCACATGTATGGTTGCTTGCAGTGTCTTGTGTCATATAACCACGATTTGCAGTGTTTTTGCTAGAAACTGGCATATTGGGTTTTTTTAATGACTGCAGTGTTCACTTTATGACTGTTGCATTTGCTTAATGACGGTCGTAAATTTAGGCACAGTTATGTAGTGACCCACTTTAAGATGGTCATGACTTACGACCAAAACTGGGAGTTCAGTTGTAGTCATAAGTGGAGGACTACTTGTAAACCCAATCCTTTTAGAACAGATCTTCCCTGCCTGAATATTAGAATTATTTTTTTCTCCTTTTGGGATTGTTACTTTTTAAAATGTGTGTGTTTAATGTTACTGTACTGTTTGCTCTTAATTCTGACTGTTCCTGCTTTCCTGATTATTTTTTCCTGATATGGGAAGCTTTCATCCTATTTCTTAAATCTTTCTTATTATAATGTGAACAAACAAATATTTGTATTCCGTGTCATCACATCTTGGTGCTCAATAAGTATTTAACAGTACTTTTTATATTGTAATTATATATATATAGTGTTTTAAATAATAACTTGAGAGTCAAAAAGGGTCAGAAAAATGTCTTGAACACTAGATGGTGCTGATGTATGGTAGCTGAGTAATTTATTTTTGGAGTGGATGTTTCAATTGCGCAGTTAAGATATTTCAAATGTAAATTGTTTCCTTAATGAAATACCACAACATTGTCGAGAATTGCAGTCATATATACTATGCGTATGTTTTGCTGTTGTACTCAAGCTGGGATATCTCCTCAGCACACACATGTCTAATGAAATAGATACAGATGCTCTTTCTTTATCTCTTCTAAATCCTTCTGGATTTAGAACCAGCCCTGCTGGGGTATCTGAATGTCTTGTTAAACCCATTCTGCAAGCAGATCAAAGTTTATCCTTGCCTGAAAGTGTTACAGGGAGCAGAAGGATGGGAACATAGGAAGGTGAGGCTTATTTACCTGTCACTAAACCAGGAGTGCTGACTGCTCTTTAGAAGGCCAGGTCCTGAAGATGAAACTCAAATACTTTGGCCACCTAATGAGAAGGAAGGACTCACTGGAGAAGAGCCTAATGCTGGGAACGGTTGAGGGAAAAAGAAGAAGAAGGGGACGGCGGAGAATGAGGTGGCTGGATTGAGTCACTGAAGCAGTCGGCGTGAGCTTAAATGGACTCCAGAAGATGGTAGAGGACAGGAAGGTCTGGAGGAACGTTGTCTATGGGGTCACGATGGGTTGGATACGACTTTGTGGCTAACAACAACAAACCAGGAGTAAGCATTTAATCTGAGATTCTACAGACTTTTTTTTTCCTGGCATGCTTTTAAAATTACAACAACCACCCAACCAGAAATAGGTGCCTAATGTCCCCTTGTTTTTCATTGGGTAGGGGCTTGAATGGGGGATAAGATAGGTAAGCCTTTCTCTTCTTCCATCCCATACAGACTTGGATAGTGTTACATGTTACAACTGCATTCACAACAGCCGTGGCTGCTTCCTGAATGAAGTGGGACCTCTGGATGCCAAAAAGTTGCTCATCCTTTTGCAGGATCAGGGCTTGGCATTCCATCTGAATCACTCTTGTTTTGTTATTCTGTCTCCCTGAAGGTTTTGCTATCAAGGATTATATTTATCATGCTGCATGATGTATTGTATGTACGGGAACCGTTTTTGTTAAGTGAGCTTGTTTAAACAGTAATGGTTTCCCGACATAATCCTAAGATTAACCCAGGCTTCTTGACCATAAACAAACTTTCTTTAATGCCTCTTGGGGATATCAAGCCTTACAACGGGAATCATTCATTCATGTGTTCATTGTTTAGATTAGTCTTCTGCCTACCCTGTGTGTCCTATTTTTTAATTCCAGTCACATTACTTTTTGCCTTAGGTGAGTAATAATAAGAAGATAATAAGTTGACCAAAGAGTTGCCCAAATATATTTTAAAGAGGGCGAGATAAAAATATAATGCAATAATAATAAAATGGAAGGAGATGGAGGAGGAAGAGGAAGGGAAGGAGGAAAAAGGAGAAACCATTTTACACAGTCTGCTTTATGTGAATCAATACAATAGAACAGGGGTGTCAAACTCAAGGCCTGCAGGCCAGATGTGGCCCACAGGGTACTTAAATCTGGCCTGCGGGGTTGGCCTGGAAGTAGCAAAGGACTGGCCCGTAGTGCCTCTGGAAGCCAAAACGGGCTCTGAGAAGGCTGTGCATCGTCACACACACACCCGTGCCGGGAGGGGGCTGAGGAAGAGTCCGTCCCGTTCTCCCCCCCCCCCCCCCCCCGCCAGCCCATGGAGGAGGACTACAATGCTGATCCGGTCCTCGAAGAAAGTCAGTTTGACACCCCTGCAATAGAAGCAAGATAATGCCTTCGTTTTTCCATCCATCCACCCATTCAACTCGCATGCCATTCTTCTCTATCCATTCATGGTATCATGGATGCCACTGAAGGAATGAATTTCCTCTGTCTTCCTGCAATTTTTGACCTTCCCAATTCTGTTTTGGAGGGGTGAAGTCCGTGAATAGAGATACACTTCGAACCAAACCAAACCAAACCAAAACAGGTTCCTTTAACAACAATAAAACTGTGCTTGTATAGGATTAATAGATTTTTTAAAAAAGAACTAATTTGCTGTTAAGAGCAAATTGTCTTGTGGCAGAAAAAATGTCAGATCCATTTATTTTTTTTTAGATATGAATTGATTGACCATGTGAAGGTATTTCCACAACCGGAAACTATTGGGGATTCATTTAATCCCCACCTGCCATTTAATTATCCTGGAGGAGAACTTTTCCTCCAAGTAAC